TCTCCTGGAGCCACCCCTCTGGTCAGTTTTCTGTTGTAAAAAATTTTTTGCAAATTTTATTTTGATTTTTTGTTTTTTGAAAAATGTGTTACTTGCTTTTAACTAGTTGATTGGTTGAAATTTTGAAGATCCAAGATCTCTTGAATTCCAAATACCGTAAACACTATAATAGAACGTCACCCGAATCGTCAAATTTGAGCTCATGTATCTCATTTTCTGTGAGAGATATCAAAAAGTGATCAACTGACAAAATGTTACTGATATCATGAAAAACATTTTATCAGTTGACAGCATTTTGATATCTTTCAAAAGAAGTGGGATAATTAGGCTCAAAAAGGAAGGTCCGGGTGGCGTGGATTTTGGTGGATTTTTGTCAGGTTTTTCATACACCTGAGAGGAAAGTAACAAAAAAATTTTGAAATCTTTAAAAGACATCTGAGAAAACACTGAAAATCGATAAAAATTCGAATTTCGCGCGCTTTTACCGGCAGTTGGCCTAGAAAACTCACACCTGGCCGCTTGGCCACCGGTTCCCACTGTGACTTTTCGATGCCGTTTTTCTCAATGAAGGATTTTTTTCGAATTTTTCCTTCATTTTTATGGGGATCTACTTGGATTTCTGCACAAAATGAAGCAATAAAATTTTTCACCGCACACCACCTTTAAAACAAATTTCAGAAGTTTTTTTAAACTTGTTTGTGAAAACTCTTAACTTGGAAAGTGTTTTGTCTGCCAGAAAAATTGGTTTTTTTCCCTAATTACCCCAAAAATTTTATGAAAAGACAGGAAAAAATTTCTTAAAAACAGGGCTGAGGATAGACCGTTCCGGGCCTTAACAGTTCTGAGAAAAGCCCCGCACGGCGCTTTGCAAATATGGAAACAACGCCCGAAAAAAGTATCCCAACATTTTAAAATTCTCAGTTCAAAAAATTTGAAATTTGAAAATTAAAAATTCATAAGTTTGAAAGTTCTGAAATTTTGAAACTCGATATTTTGGAAATTCGGAAAAAAGAACTGCTTTAAAAGTCAAAAGCTGACGCTCAGAAATTAAAATTTTAGAAGTTCGGAAATTCAGAAAAAAAAAGTTTAGAATATCGACCAGTCAGAAAGTCGAACACTTAAAACGAAGTCGGAAAAAAATTCGAATTCGAAAAAAAATCTTAAATTTTGAAGAAAGTTTTAAAATTGAGAAGTTGAGAAGTCTCAAATTTCTGAAACTCGACATTTTCTGAGTATCCTGATGTCCGAATTTTGAATTTTTTAATTTTTCAAAGATTGTTGAAATTTCTGAATTTCATTGACTTTTGAATTACATAGGATTTCTGAAATTCTGATGTTCTGTTTTGGAATGGACAAACATTTGAATTTCTCATTCCCGTATTTTCAAATTTCAAAACTTCTGCATTTCTGGCATTTGAAAATTGAGAACTTCTCTGGCCCCAAAATGTTTTTCGTTGTCGAACCTTCAAAATTCAGAATTTCGGAAAATCTGAAATTCAAAAACTCTAATATGCGTAGAATTAACAATCTGAAATAGCAAAAAAATCCCATTTTGAAAATCTAAACGTTTTATTATAGTTTTTTTTCTAAATTCCCAGATAATAATTAAAAAAAATAAAAGTTGTAAGATTATCTGGAATATCAATTCTCTAGATCTTCCTTTACTTTCTCAAACTGAAACAGCAAGAAAAATTTACTTTTTCAAATTTATGATTTTTATTTCTAGTTGTTATTTTATCCATTAATCACTTGCTAATTTTCTTTAAAAATCTATGAATAGGAATTTTTCATTTCACAAATTTCCCATTCATCCTCTTTTCCCATTCTCATGACCCGTTCTTCCCATATTTTTTTTGTTTCCCAATGTTTTTTTTTCCCGAAATGCAACACCACCTGCATCCATCCACAAACAGGTGCAGCACACGAAACGAACACTTTTTTCCTCTTTTTTTTCATTTTTCTGTCTGCGTCTCTCTTCTCTCTCTCTCCCATCTCTCCCAATTTTCCAATAGAAATCCCTTTTGATTTTCATTTTCGAAATTTGAATTGTCACTTTTACATAGGAAAGTCCAAAATTTCGTGTGTGTTCCGGGATTTTTCGGATGGCTAGTAACTAGAAAGGATGATAGGAAAATTATAGGGTAAAGAGGGAAGAGAGAGAGAGAGAGAGAGAGAGAGAGAGAGAGAGAAGATGAAATTTCGAATATTATGAAAACTTACTGACCATTTGGATTTTTTATTTTTTTTAAAAATTTGTTTTGAACTGTTGAAAACTGGGGTAGTTTTCAATTATAAAATACTAAAATCCGGTTTTTCAAATTTCAGAAAAACTTGCTGAATTTTTGCAGAATAATACTAATTGTTTGAAATTTTCAGTTTCGCCAAATTTTCGAATATTCATTGGAAATTTTAAAAATTCGTTTCAGAAGAAGTGAACAGTTAATTAAAATGCTTATTTCAGTACTTCTGTTTCTGTAAGTCATTCTGTAACAACTTTTTGAAAAACACTTTCAAAAAATTTTTTGAGTTTTTTTTTTCAAATTAAATCGGCATAATATATTCAATACATTTCATGAAAAATCTGGAACCGCAAAATAATTTTTCCTACAATTTAAAAAAATTGTAAATTGAAATCCGTTTCAAATTTTCGATTTGTTTTTCTGATTGGCGAAATTGCTTACATTAGTTGTTCAAAATTGACAGTACCTTGAAACTGTAAAAATAAAACCAACAAAGCATAACATATTGAAATCCAGTTTCTGTGAAAACTTATTGAAGTTTTGGTACAGTACTATACTAATTTTTATTCTCAATTTGTATTATTCGTTGGTTGGACTACAGTTGTCCGAATACTTGAAAATTGGAATTTCTTTTTTCTAAACAAACTGGAACAGTCAAAATTTCCTTTTGTTTTTGTCGAAGCAATTTCTGGGTTACTGTAGGAGAAGCTTTCTTTTGCTACTTGTATGGATGAATCCATCAGATCAAATAGGGGCATGAAGAAAGACAAGAAAAGCAATGACTTGAATAACTTCCAAACTCTTCAAATAAATTAAACAAAACCGAAACAGCTAACTTTTAAAGCTAGATTTTTTCAAATTCCTTGAGATTACTGTATCTATTTTCTAAAGCTGAAAATTAGATTATTGTGGAGTGGGCAGTTTTTTGAAATTAGAAAACAAATATTTAAAAGTTTTAGAAAATGTACAGCGAAACAATCAGTCCGTCGCATGAAGATTTAAAAAAATACAAATGTCTTGAAACAGGAATTTCGTAAAAAATTGTTTTCGAAGATTCAACCTTGAAAAGCTCAAAAACCTAATTTTGATCTTAAAAAATATATAAAATCTTTATTTTACACTAGGGCTCCCGGAGCTCCCAGTGTAAATGGAACGAAGAGAACGAAAAATGGCTCCCAGTCATCAATCTTGCCCACTAATATTTCTTTCACTCTTTTACCCTCTCTCTCTCTCTCTCTCTCTCTCTCTCTTTTTTTCTCGTCATTTTCACATCTCTCTTGAAAATACACCAAAACCAATTGTCAATCATCAACTAATCTATTTCTGGGATCAAAAATTGGGGTTTGGAGGTTCCGAATATTGGTTTTTCAGAATTTGTTAAAGAGTGCTAATTTGCGTCTCTTATGATTTTTCGATTTTTTAGAATCAATTTCTTTTCGAAATTTTCGAAATTTCAGACTTTTTTTTCTTGGGATTTTTTTCTGTTTCATATTGTGTTCTTTACTTTTGTTCTCAAAATTTCACTAATATATAGATAGAATAAGGCATTTTCTTGAATCATTTGACTAATTCTGAATTGTAGAGCGTTTGTAGAGCGTTAACAGAAAAAAGTCTCCGAAAATCAAGCGAATTTGAAATTTTCAGCAGTTTCTCAAATTTTTAGAAACTCATTGTTTCACTGTTTCACATTGTTTTCTTTGTTTATTTCCTTCAATTTTTCACTAGTTTAAAACTGACTTGTTTTAGTATTTCTGGGGTTAAAATGACCGTAGTTGCAAGCGGGCCGACTGATAACTTTTACCTAGAACGAGATCTTTACACAGTATTAGTAGTAAATGGTAGATCTCAACAGGGCTCATCACGCCTATATCATTCAAGCTGGATCCCGGTCCGACAACATGTCGAAAAATGGTTTGAATGATAATTTTCTACCAATTTGACAAAAAGCAGATTTTTTGTCATTCAAACACATTTTTAGACTTGTTATCGGACCGGAAATTGGGTTGAATAATATAAACGTGATGGGCCCTGTCGAGATCTATCATTTGGTACCAAAACCTTCTAAATATCTCGTTTTAGAGACAACTTATAAGCCGGCCCGCTTGCAACTATGGAAAAAGTGTTCCAGAATGTTCAAGAACAATCAAAATGCTATAAAACAAGTCCGAAAATATGACTATTTTTTTAATCTGAAAATTTGAAAATTTTGATTTTCAAACTTTTTTTTTCAAAATTTTTGTTTCATCTTGCTGTCTTATCAATATCCTTTAATTGCTCACCAATGGTCTTGTAATTAGTACATGAAAACAATATTTTCAAAACTTTTTCAAACCAATTTCTTTCCTGCCGTAAAACCTGTAATGAAAAAGATCTCGCACTACCAAATTTGAGCTCAATTATCTCGATTTCTGAAAGAGATATCAAAAATGTGCCAACTGATAAAGTGTTTGTGAGATTAAGATAAAGATTTCGTCTGTTAACCAATTTCTGATATCTTTTACAGAAAATGAGATAAATGAGCTCAAAGTTAAAAGTTAGCTGATCCTTCTATTTTTATTTTAGTATTTCTGGTATCAAAAAAGTTTATGTTTCAACTTGTTTTCTTAGTAATTTCCTTCAATTTCTTAACAATAGGTGACAACTGTTGCGAAAATGATGTGAAAATAATGATTTTCAATTTTTTTCAAAGTTATATCTCTCTCTACTAATAATAGTTCCCACTATTTAAACAAGAATCTTCCAGAAACCCCCAATACAAAAATGATGACGTCGGGTTGGATGCAAGAAATGGAGCCGATTCCGGAGGAGGGTACAGAAGCCGACGGTTCCGAATGGGGAGGTGCGACGTCGGAAGGTGGTGGACCGGGAAGACGAACGTTGCGAAAGAAGGAGGTTTATACGTCGGAACAGATCAACACACTTGTAAGGTACGTGTGGCGCAGTGGGTGAGCGTTTTGACTGGGGTCCGAGGGGTCCGGGGTTCGGTGTTAGAAACGTTGTCCTAGAGTCTAGGAGTCCCAGGTTCGAGTTTGGGTACCAAAATTTTGAAAAAATTCAAATTTTCATGGATTTCCCTAGTCATTTTCCCGAAAAAATCCCCAAAAAAAGGTGTACCGCTTACTGTACAAACAACCACCATCACCCCATACTTCTCTCTGTTTTTGCATAGGATTAATTTCTCCTCTTTTTCTCTATCACCCTCCTCATTTCCTACACTCTCTAGTGATCTACAAAATGTTTATTGTTGTCATTAATATTGTTTATCCAATCTCTCTCCCTCTTTTCATGCCCTTTTTCTGCCGGTAAATAATAAATCAACCGGAACTAGGTATTTGTAAATTTTGGATTTTGAACAGAAATATTTTTTTTTCGGTTTTGAAGTTTTTGGAAATTTTGAAAATGTTAAGACATTTTACTATCATGAGGACACTCGAAATTGAACCTTTTGAGATACAAAAATTTTAAAATTTTGAAAGTTTTCACATTCAAAAAGTGGTCAAACAAAAAAAAACTTGGCTGTTACAAATAGTAGATTTTAAAAAATACTTTGCTTGAAAGTTTTATTATTAAGACAATACTGTTAATATTGGCTTTGATACCCAAAACTAACCATTTTAAGATACAAACACTTCAAAAATGTGAAAATTTCAACATTTTTCTTTTTCAAATAAAAAAAAAAGTTGCTGTTACAAATAGTTGTTCTAGAAAAATAATTCATTTAACGTTCAGTGTGTTAGGAAAGAAAACTTCTAAAGCTAAATAACCTAATTAAGATAAGGTTCCCCGAAGTTGCAATCATTGAACTATTTTTGAAATCATTAAAAAATTTATGTTTCAAAATTATCATTTTAGATCTTTTGAAATTATAAGAAATTGATATGTTTCGGCCGGAACACCCTTACTGTGTCATAAGAAATTGCTAGTAATACAATGTTTTCTAAAATTTACTGTTTCATCGACATGATGTAATTTTTTGTTGTTTTTTGAGTTCGTTTAATAAATACTTCAAGTAGTATTCCAAATTTAGCTCTCACAAATTAAATCATCAATAATCAGTAATTTTTCAATTTTTAAAAATGGATTCTTTTCGGTTTCAAAGTTTCTGGAAATTTTTGAAGATTTCAAACCATGTTACTAACGCATGTGTTTAAGGAATTGAAGCAAAAATAAATCAAATTGATCATTTCAAGAAAAAATTTTTTAACTTTTGAATGATTTGAACTTTTCGTTTTTAAATCAAACAACAAAAAAGTGCTGTTAGAGGTAGTTGATTTAGAAAACACTTCATTCAAAAAGCTTATTGCGAGTTAGAGTGAAAATCAGACTTGTTCAAATCGGGAAATCGGAATTCCCGTTTTCCCGGTTTCCCCGAAAATTTTCGGGAATTTTTCCCGACAGGAATTTTTCCGAAAGAAAATTTTTTTCACGAAATTCCGGGAAAAACGGAAAACTTTTCAGTCATTTTATTTCTAGAATTCTCAAATTTTCAACTATTTTTTGCTTTTTGAATAGTTTTCCATGCGAATTTATTGGACACTTTTGAGAAACGTAAAGAAATCGACAGATCTAAACATAAATTGAGAAAAATAGACAAAAATTCGTTGAAAAACCAACTTATTGATTTTTCCCGATATTCCCGAAAATTCCCGAATGATAATTTCGGAAACGATTTCGGGAACAAAATTTCCCGAAAATTTTTTTCGGGAAATTTTTCGGGAACCCGATTTCCCGGAAAAAAATTTTGGGAAAGTTTTCGAGAACAGGAATTCTCGAAAAAATTTTCCCGAACAAGTATGGTGAGAATGTTTAGAAATGTAACTATCTCATGTGTTTTTGAATTTTAAGAAAATAATTCAAAAATTAATCTTTTTTAGATACAAAATTTATTATTTTTTTCGAATAACAAAAGTTGCTGTTACAAATACTGGATTTAGAAAAATCCTTAACTCAAAAAGTTTTTTGTGCAGAGTACACACGAATTAGACTAAATTTTTCTGTCATTTAAACTACTTTTTTTAGTATTTGCTTTATTTCAAAAATATTGTTTCAAAGTTATTGCATTATGTAGTTAAAAATATGAAAATTCGAGGGTGAAGATTCGAGAATCCGTATTTTATTTCAATTTTCTCTGAAATTCAATTTTCATGAACAAACTAAATTGTATTGCATTTTTAAAAATTTAATTCGTGATTAGTAAATTGTGAAATTTCTTGTCAAACCTGATCAAATTCAAGTTAATTTTTGTTTCAAAAAATTTTTCGGTTTCAGAATTTCTAGATATTTCTAAGAACTTGAAGACATTTTACTTCATGATTTACTTCGAATGGATCAGCTTAAATACATAATCTTCGAAGTTTCGAAATTTTCATTTTTTCTTATTTGGAATATCCTTTATTTGAAAAACTTATTGAAGGCTTCAATTGTATTAACCCTAATTGAACCTAAACTCTCAAATGTTCAAGTTATCGAACTTTTTTTTTCTTCCAACAAATCACTGTTTCTAAATTATTGTTTTATGTTGTTAAAATATGAAAATTCGATAGTTTTTCTAATTGAGAAAAATCCCTGTTTTTAGAACGCGTTATATTTTTGTTTTTTTTTTCAAGTTTAATAGCAAAAATCGTGTGTTACCAAAAAATTTTTCTTACTAATTAATTGTGCCAGTAGGCAAGTAATTTTTTCCATGCGTAACTTATTTGATTTTTAAAAAATTTATTGAGAACTTAATCAAGCCTGAATTTTTCAATTTTTAAGTCAACAAATTTCTAAAATTCAATGTTTCAAGAATGTGATATATATTTGTGCATTTTTCAAAATTCACTGCGCTCGTCCTATAATGATCTAAATATAGCTTTTCAAGTTTCTAACTTAAAAGTTTTTAACTAATAAAAAAATAATAAAAAAATCAGGACAGGAACCTCATGCCATATTTTCTTCTGATCAATAAATTAAATTGATTAAATAAGTTTACAGTTCCAACCTTAACTTTTAGAAATTTGAAACACATTCTTGAAATTCATACTTACAAATTTCAATTTCAAGATTTTGATTTTTTGTTCTGAATAAAATACCGTAGAATATCTATATTTGAACTTTAACGTCGATTATCTCAATTTCTACAGAAGATATCCAAAATTTGTCGAATGATAAAATGTTTATCATAATATCACCAACATTTTATCAGTTGACAAGTTTGCGATATCTCTCATAGGAACCAAGATAATTGAGGTCAAAATCCAAGTTCAGCAAAATCTCTTTTTCCATAAAAAGTAACTGTTTCGAAATCTTGAAATTAAGTTTCTATTTAAAAACTCATCAGTCATCCGTTGCCAATTTGTCCAAAATTTGAAAAAATTGACCATCTAAATATAAAGGCGGCTCTTTTTGAGTCCACACCGTCCGGAAATGCATACAGAACGCATAAATGTGTGTACACTGATTCATTCTCTCTCTCTCTCTCTCTCTCTCTCTCTCTCTCACTTTCTCTAAACAAAACATAAAACAATGTGTGTTGGCACTTTGCCAACAAGAGAGAAGAGAATTAGAGAGGCAGAGAAAAAATCGGAAGAAGAAGAACAAAAAGGTGTCAGAGGGTATGTCCTCGAACATCGGACTGTGTTCTTCCGAATTGATTTAATTGCAGTTCCGAATTGATTTAATTGCAATTAATTGCACTTTTTTATATTGGGAGGATTCTTTTTTCGTGTATCGCTGTTTTGTGGGAAACGGGGCAATTACTGTTTTAGAGGATTTGGGAAGTATTGGAATTTTTTCCTAGTTTGTTTCATTTTAACAAAAATCAGGTTCCTAATTGAATTCAATGCTAATTTAGAAACATTAAAAATTTATTTAAAAAAGGATAATTATAATTGACTGATAATTAGGAATATCCAATATTGGTCAACTGGGGGTCGCTACGAAAACTGATTGTGATAAGAAACTTTTTTCGAAATTTCAGATAATTCTGAAACACGAAGTTTTTGAAAAACTTTCGACGAAATAAATCAGAAATTCAATTGAAGTCGATTGTAAAAAATGGTTTAAAGGCATACAATGGAATTATTGAAACAAGAAATTTTCCAAAATTTTGTGTTTCAAAATTTTCATTATTTTCAAAAAAATTTTCTGTAATCGTTATCGAAAAAAACTGAATGCAAATATTGGAAAACCTTTTTTTTAAATTTACTAATTTTGATAATTTTGATAGTTTGAAATTAAGTGTATAACCTAATAGTAACTTATAATTTTCAAAAAGTTAAATTAACATTTTGAAACATGAAATTTTGAAAAAAAACATCGATGATCCAGATTTTCTGAATATACATGTCAAACTTTATTTAGAAAAGTTACTGTTTCAGCCTGTTTATATTTTTTGTTGTTTTTCAGTTTCTTTATTAACACTAGCTTAGTCGTTATTTTTAAAAAAATTAAATTTTTTAAAATATTATGTTTCAGATGTTTTTGATCCACTGAGATGTTCTATTAAAATTGTTAGTTTCTTCTTTCCTTTTTTCAATTTTCCTAAAATCTTCCATTTCTCCATGACACCCCACAAAAAGCGACCCAATCTGACCTCTCCTTCCCCATGTATTAATGGCACGTTCGTCGTTTCGCACTTTCGATATGTCTGCCCTACTCTCCTCATTTCCCACACTCTCTCGCCCCTTTCATCATGGGCCTGTATTGTTTGCTTACCTATCCCTCCCCAGTCTTCTTCCTTTGACAACACATACCTCCACGCTCACAAGTTCACAAACTGTTTCCTTCTCTGCGCCTCTCTCTCTCTCTCTCTCTCTCTCTCTCTCTCCTTTTTTTAAATAGTTTTAACACCTTTTAAAGGTTTTATAGCTTAAAATAGCCACATTTTTCGTTAATTTTGAAAAAAAGTGCAATGTTTCAGTTTGCCTTTTTAAAAGTAAAGTAAATCATCTGAAAAGTTCACTATTTTATGTAAGATGTGACTCAAATATAAAATGTGTAGGTTGTATTTGGATTACTGTATCCTTCCCATTTCTAGATTCCTCTATTGAATGTGGCGTTCTTTCTGACTTATTTCAACCACTTATCACAATTAATTGTCCTATTCTATTATTTTCCCCTTTTTTCCCCACGTTCACTTCTTTTTTCTTTTTCTTCACTTTTTCCACTTTTCATCTAAGATGCTGGGTCAAACACAGAAAAAGCAATCTTACAATTAGTGTTTTTTTTTTCAAATACTCTTTGGAGTTTTCGAAACAGTTATTTTTTCCACTTTTTGGGATTTTCAGAACTTTTTTCTTCAAAATTTCCAACTAGTAATTTAGAGAACGTCCCCAGAATTCCTTATTCAAGAAAATTAGGAAAACAAACTTACTTAATTTTGTTGAAGACACATTCTCTGAGAGAATTGAGATCGAGAAAACGTAGTTTTTATTGTTTCAAGTCCCAATTTTCATACTTAAATATTCCCATTTCCAAAAATAGTTTTTTTTTTGTAAAATCTGTGATTTGTATTTTCTCTCTTTTTCTCCTTTTCACAAGTTTTCTAATTCAATTTCCGTGTCAATTTCCTATCCCCAAAACTTTTTGTGTGCTCGGCGAGCACACACAAAAAGATGATGATACACACAATTTCACGGAGCTTGACCCTTCCTTTTCTTCTTTTCTTTTTTCCGAGGTTGTCCCGGAAAAAAGAAATCGAAAAACACTTGTTCACTCTCTCCCTCCGGATTTTTACAACGCAAAAATACATACGACATGTATTAAACTTTATACCCAAGTTTCTAGGCCACTATCTGATAACTGTCTTCAACTGTTTTCTGTCCTATTTTCCATGATTTTCGAATATCTTTTAAAAATTCGAATTTCCTACTTTTCTCTTAATGTTTTCCTAAAATTCCTAGATGTAGTCCAAATAGAATTTTTCGAATTTCTTAGGCTCCGCGTCACTTCGAAACCGCGACATTTTGAAACCGGTCGTTTTAGTGATTGTTTTCGAAGTGTCACCTAGTTTCGAAATGACCGGTTTCGAGGTGTCGCAGTTTCGAAGTAACTCGGAGCCATTTTTATCGGTTTTATCTTTAAATGTTTACCATCAAAAAAAGTTTATGTTTCAAAATTATCAGATTCTGAAGATTTTTAAAGTTCATTTATTGGTCAGAGAGGACTACCATAATTGCAAAATTCCAATTTATCCTAGTATTTCAAATTTTAATTATCCAGCTGATATTGAAAATGAGGAACAGTGATTCATAGGAAATATCAAAAACTTGTTAAATTCTCACAATTTCCAAAAATGCATACTCTGTATATTTAAAATTTCTCGTCGGAATATCCATCAATCGAAAACTCCAATATCCTCCAAAATTTCTGAATATTATGAAACTGAACTTTTTTCTAAAAAGTGAAATTTTATTGTAATTTTCAGCATTTTTTGATACTTTTGTTTATTAATGAAGCATAAGGTATGATTCATAAATTTAAGCTTATAATAAATCATTCTTACTAGAAATGTCCTTAGTTTCCCAAAATTCAAAAACATCATGAAAGCGAAATGTTCTTTCAGTACTAAACATTTCATTTTCAAAAAAAAGTTTCGGTTTCAAAATTATCAGATTTAGAGGTTTTTCGAAGTTCAGTTGTTTATTAGACTTTAATTTCGACATTTCAAAAAACATTTTCTCAAATTTTGAAGCAAAATAGATCACAACTTTTTGAATTGCTTCAGCTGGTGCTTCAAATCTTATACCATTTAATAAAACCAGGAAAATACAGTAATATCAATTTGAAACTTCTGATCTCATACATAATACTCCATCAATTTCTATTAGACAAAATTTAGACTCTCGAACAGTAAGAAATTGTTGCAAAACTGAAAATCGAAAATTCTGAAATTGAGCAAAGTCACAGCTTCAAAGTTCTCACAAAATCTGTACAAAATTAAGTGTTTTGTTCAAAAGAAGTTCGGTAGATTTTAGATTTTCTCATTGTATTACTCCATCAATTTCCATTAGGCAAAATGAAAACTCTGGAACAGTAAGAATTTTTTGTTTTTCTTTTGTTTAATTAATTAATACGGAATTGAAAAACTTTATTTTTCTAAACTCTGAGAAGAATGATCCAAATATTCACAGTTGAAAAAAAATTAGAATATTTCAAAAATCCAAAAAATCTGAAATTCCAAAAGTAAACGAAAATTTTGAATTTCCAAGATTATCCAAAACTTCTGCATTATTTCAAAGTTGTGACATTTTTAAATGAAATTCTTGTTTTTCATTGATTTTCAATGGAATCCATGGTCTCCCCACATCTGCATTTCTTTTTCCCTTTTTCAAAACAAGTTTTTTGGGACAACAACAAAAAACAGATTTGTTGTATTTCCTAGGAATGCCTAAGACAAATAGAGTTCTTGAAACTTTAAAATTTCCATTTTCTGCTTTTTTTCTCACTTTTTTCATTAGCTTGATACTAGAATTTCACCCAAAATGTTCAAATTTAGAAAAAAAAGTTATGTTTCAAATTCTCATTATTTTTCTCTCAGTCTCGATATCGTCAAGACGAATCGGTGATCCATTTTTGAAAAATCAATTTTTTTTTCAATTTCAATATTCCTATTTTTTCAGCACAGTACCCAAAGAATCGGTACCGCAGGAGTGGCTCGTCGAGAATCAGGTCGTTGATCCAGAGTGAGTTTTTTGAAATTTTTTTTTTCTGAAACTATTTATTATTGAATAGAAAAAATTCTGATAACTCTTCTGGAAAATCTGAAAAATGTATTTGTTTTAATTTTTGAGTTCCCTCGTATTCTATATTCGTATTCTATCGTATTCGTATTCTATTCCTCGTATTCGTATTCGTATTCCAGTATTCTATTAGTTTTTTTTCTAAATTTTCACAAAAATTCAAAAACGTTTTGAAACAGAAAATGTTTTCCACCAAAAAATAGTTTCCGTTTTTCATTTGTGAGTAACTCTTTTTTCTCTCCGATGACCTCTCAAAACCAGATGTTCCTTTTTGAAAAAAATGGCATCCAGCTGTGTCTTCTATCTAATTTTTTTTTATTCTGGGCAACCAAATGTTTCCTCTTATTCTCTTTTATACTAACTTTTCTTTTAGGGAATTTGCTCATTTTGGATTTGAATTTTTCAAAATTGGAATTAAAATCATTTTTAAAACGAGATTGGCTAGCTTCAAAATGGAATGTTCTAATCTCTAGAATGTGAAACAGCAAAAATAATCTTTTGGAGATTTTGAGGTTTTTTTTTGGCAACTTTTTAAACAAATTAAAATTTTCATAATAGTTGATTTCTAGAGATTGAACACTAACAAGTTATTAACGAAATAAAAAGTTTGCGTTTTTCCAATGATTCTGAAACTGTGGAAAGTTTATTGAATTGTAAAATTCAAAATTTTTCTACTTTTTCAGTTCTAAAGATCAGATAGTTAATTTGAAAATTACTTCGAAAAAGCAATATTTGATTTCATTAATGATTTCACAGAGAAGTTGATTTTGTTAATGAATTTTTTGAAACTGTAGGAAAACATAAACGAATAAAATTTCAAAAAAAACCATGTTCAAAATCAAAATCTATGAATTCAGAAAATGTTTTCGCATTTTTCCAATATGCCTGAAACTGAGAAAAATTTGGAAATTTCCAACATTTTCTTACTGTTTCATCTATAAAATTTGAAATTTTAATGAAAATAAAATCTTGTTTGATGAGTTGAAGAGTACGATATACTGATAAATGTAATTAGCATTATTATTAATTAAAAAAGTATCTCAAACTTACCATTTAGAATTTTGATAGCTATAACTTGAAAAAGCTAAAAGAAAAAAGTTTTTTTTTCAGAAATTTCTAATAACTAATTCAAGGGATTTCTTACTTCTGAAAATTCAGTCATTGGCTAATTCATCTAACGATAAAATAAATTATTTTCGCGTTTTTCTGATGTTTTTGAAATCGTAAAAATTATTGAGACTTGAAAAATGTAACATTTTTATCTGTTTCAGTTATATAATTTTGAATGCAAAAAAACTGTGATTATTGTTAGGAACATGGATACATTAAAAAAACACCTGTTTTGTGGCAGTCAAATTTCCAAATTTCGATAATTTTGAAAAATGTTGATAACTTTTTAAAAAATTATTTTCTCATTGAGCAGAAAACAAGTTGTTATGAAATCCAATATTTTTGAAATTGTGAAAAATTGTGAAAAATTAAAAACAAATCATTCTCCCACTATTTACAAAATGTCTAGAATTTGTCAAAAAACGACCGATATTGATTAAAATATAAAACAATATTGATAGTGTTGAAAATGAACTTATCATTGATTTCGCGATATTTGTGTAACAGTAAACACTCAATTTTTTGACATTAAAAAATTGTAATAATGTGTGGATTTAATTAAAACTTTGTAACACCGAAACAAGTTATCAACTTGTTGGAACAGTAGAAAAATTGGAAAAGTTTCAAAACTTTGTATCATGTTGTAAAGCTTTTAGGACTGCTGAAATAATGTCAATTTTTAAAAATGTTGCTTTTTCAAATTTAAGTTTTACGGTTATTCCTGTAAAACTAGTTTGCATAGGAATAAAACTTGCTGGTATTGGAACAGCGAAAAGAATTTGAGAATGGAGGATTTTCGAGAAAATTCAAATCTTCAAATAATTTTTGCAAGAATTAGTTTTTTTTTTCGAAATTTCTGTAGTTCTGCATGTTTCAATTGCATTGACCAGTACATAATTATCCAGTTCTTATAATAATTCTGCAATTGGGAGTTTTTTTGACTTTTGAAACTTTTCCACTGTTACATTTGTAAAGTTTCATCGTAGAAACAATTGTTTCTACTGATAGAAGAGTTAGTATTGCCAATAATTAAACAAAAATTCAATTTGAGAGTCTGGGATCATTTTCGAAAATTCAAAGTTGTTTATAGTTCAAAGAACTGCTAAATTTAAAAAATAGACACTTTTCCCATTGAATGACATTTAGTAAGAAAAAAAATTCGCATTTATTTAATATTTCTGAAATAATGAAAGTTAAGAATACTTCAAAAATCTCATTTGTTGGCTAGTTCTCGCTAGGCTTTACAAATTCCAAACAAAAAACCGCCGAAAATAGTGAGCGGAGCATAAATTGTACAAATTAAATGTGTCTATGGATAGCAAAACGAAATTGGACGACAAAAAATTTTAAAAACAAAAACAAACTGTTCTTTATATAGTGTGGGATTTGTATAATTTCCATATGTCTTGAAACAAAAGTGGATCGCTCAATGGCATTCTTAAGATTGTTACTTTGAAACCTTATCAATGAAACATTGGAAAAATCAATCGTGAATCGAAGCTAGGGGATTCGAAGTTTCTAATATCTAGAATTTGAAACAGCAGAAAATAGTTCAAAAAGTTTCGGAAACCAACGTTTGAGATTTTCAGGATGAGTTTTCTGGAATTTCAGATTTTTCAAATTCATAGCCATTGGAAGGCCTTTTGAAATCTACCAGAACCTATAACAGCAAAAATTTTAGTATTTTTCCGATGTTTCTGAAATTGTGTAAAATATTAAAATTTCAGAATTTCAAAATTTTTTCACAGTTTCATTTATGAAGTTTCAACGTAGAAATCATTAGAATGCCAATAATTAAACACTTTTCATGATTTCTTGTTTCGGAAAACAAACACAGTACGTTTTTTACTAATTTTTCCAAATTTCGATGATACCTAGATTTTGCTAAAACATCGAAAAAAAACTTTCAGATTTCTTGATGTTTTTGAAATTCAAAAATACGTATTTTTTTGTTTTTTTTTTTGGAGAAATCGTCTTAATTGCGTTAATCAGCAAACGATTCTCGCTTTTTTTCCAATATTTCTGAAAAGTTAAAATTTTTTTTCAAAAATTTGAAAGTTTTCTACTGTTTCATACATGTTCCAATTTGGAATTTTTATTGTGTCATTCGTTGGTCTTCTGCGTGGAGCTAAAAATTATAAAATTGTTTGGAAAGCGCGCTCTATTGATAGAGAGCTCCTGGTTTTCAAACTTGAATGCATTAACTGAAAATCCTCATAAACACTTGACTTTAGTGCCACACAAACTTTCATCTTTGAGCCCTACATCTAATTCCCTGTAAAAGATATCAAGAAGCTGTCAACTGATAAGATGTTTATCATAATATCGCTAATATTTTACAAGTTGACCACTTTTTGATAGTCTAACACAAAGTGAGATATGTGGGCTCAAAGTTGACGGTCTTGGTGGTATTCTAGTAGAGTGTTTGCGGTGTATGGTTGTTAGCCAAATGTTCATCTTATCGCCAAACTTTACAAAATGGTCAATTTTCAAAACAAATTGAAACATTGAAACTTTCAAAATTAAATCTTTCCATTTTTCTTTAAGTCACACAATCAAGCCAAAAAAATTCAAAAATTCAAATGAATTTTTTCCAGAATGGCCACTTCCTACCTAACGGAATCATTGGCTGGACCAACGAGCGCTCGAGGGTCCTCCTATTCATATTCCTACGAATCACACTATGATAATCCGCCAGAAGAGGAATATGAACATTTCACAAATGATGATGGAGTACACCAGATGCAGAAAGTAAGATTTTGAAATTTTAAAAAAGATTTTACATTTTTTTTTCGAAATTTTGAAAATTGCAAAAGAATCATTAGAAAATTTCAATATCTTCAAGAATAAAATAATTTTGAAACAGTGAAATGTTTTAAAGTTTGTATTCTTAACTTTTTTCACTTTTACTGGAATTCTGAGAAATGTTTTTTTTTTCAAAAAAAACCTAACGACCCTGATCATAGAATTTTTCCTTATCACCAAATCACATAAACCGAAATCATATCAATATACCAAAAACGAGAGAGGGTGAGAGACGCAGAGAAAGAAAGAGAAAACGAAAACTTGCATGGATTGACCCAATCTCTCGTCTCCTTTTTTCTTTTTATTTTTATTTTTCGCATTTCTCTATCAATACATAGTTTTGTTATCATTTTTCATCGTCTTCTCCTTTTCATTTTACGAATTCTTGTATTTTTTGGTGAATCGAGAAGACGTCATTCATTTTTATGAGGTTTTGGGATTCTTGAGGAATGCATTCTTTCTAGAAAAACTTCTAAAAATCGAAATCATAAAAACAAGATTATAAGTAAAAATGTACTGTTTCGAAAAGTAGAAAAATTTGACAATAATTGGGAAACTAGTAATTTGATCAATCCACCTATGTTTAGAGAAATTATTGTTTAGTTTTAAATTTTTGGTTTTTCTTTGAAAAAAATCCCAAAAATTTGCAAATTGAAAAATTGCCGAATTTTTTAGTTTTGAACATTTTGAAAAAAATCACTTTTCACGCTCTCCCACAGAACATTTCCGAACTGCAAATTAATTTTTGATCTACAGAAAAAAGTTTGGCAATTGCAGGTCTAAAACCATAATTTCAGAATTTTTTATCTGATTTTGTGGAGTTCCAAGATGATTTAAATGATTCTTAAAAAATTAATTAGTGGTTATAGATTCATGTATGGTCGTTTTCCGGAAGAAAAAATGTCAAAAATGGTCATTTTGAAAGTTTTTTACAGAAAAAATCTATCTCCTCTTTCAGTTTTTGACATTTCTAGGAGTTCTATAGCTCAAAAAAACCGTATTTATTTTCTCTACATTTTCTATAGATGAATTTTTAATTTGTCTGATAAAAATTTTTTTATAATTCAAAAAACAACGCAAAAATGCTATTTTGTGCAATTTCGTGAGGTTTTTTGATTATAAAAAAAGTTTTATCAGACGAATTAAAAATTCGTCTATAGAAAATGTAGAGCAAATAAATGCGGTTTATTTGAGCTATAGAACTCCTAGAAATGTCAAAAACTGAAAGAGGAGATAGATTTTTTCTGTAAAAAACTTTCAAAATGACCATTTTTGACATTTTTTTCTTCCCGAAAACGACCAAACATGAATCTTTAACCACTAATTAATTTTTTAAGAATTATTTGAATCATCTTGGAACTCCACAAAATCAGATAAAAAATTCTGAAATTATGGTTTTAGACCTGCAATTGCCAAACCTTTTTCTGTAGATCAAAAATTAATTTGCAGTTCGGAATTGTTTTGTGGGAGAGCGTGCTGTTTCTAAATATTCAGAACTCCCTAATGATTGTTTCGAAACCAATTTTGTTTATCAAAATCAACCGATTTGGAAAGTATCCACTTTTTTTTAAAAACAGGAATATTGAATTTCGCAAAAAAGAACTGAAATAAGGACTGAATTGTTAGAATGAAGATGTTCTCATTTTTATCACATTTTTGAAACACTAAGTTTTATAAATTCAAAATTATACAGTAACTTTGCAAATTTTGAACTTGGAAGCCGTAAATTTGAAAAAAAACGGAGTTTTCAATTAAAATTGACTATTTCAAAAGTTTCATAAATTAGGAAAATTTTGGAACTAATAATTCGAGAATCGAATGATCAGAAACCACTGAAAATTACATACTTGTAAAATTCCGGGCCGGCCCGCCAAAGCCCGGGCCCGGCCCGGAAGGCCCGGTGTCAAAATTCTGTATTTTTGAGCCAAATTTTGAGCTCTCAATATAATTTTTTCCATTTTTTTCGTATTTCGGATTGTTTGTCTGTCTGATCAAATAAGATCGAAAAAACTCGAAAAAAATTTTTTTGGTCGAAAAAAATCACATAAGGGTCCCTCCTGTGTTTTTTGAAAATTTCGAAACTTGTAAAATGACGGGCCCGCCGGGCCGGGCCTCCGAAATTCCGGAAAAAGCGCGGCCCGTTACAAGTATGGAAAATTATGTTTTAATAGGAATACTTTTTTTGTTAAATCAAATGTCTTTCATTTTCATCGGAATTTTGAAAAAGGAAATTTTTTAGCACTGAAATTTTTGATCAATCACTTTAAGCAATCCTAATCTTATCTTAGATTTTACTTCCCAAAATAGACAAAGAAAAAATTCTCAATTAAAAAAAAACAGAGTCATTCAGGAGAATCTTCGACAGATATTAAAATCTACAAAGACTTGTTCATACTTATCGAAATTTTGAAAAAGTGATTTATTTCAGCAGGATCCCAACAACTAAAAAAAAGTTCTAGAATTTTCCCATACTTCTTGTAGTTGAAGATTTCTCACTGAAAATTTTATATTGTCCTTCTTTCTTTAGCAATGTTTTGAAACTGTGATTTTTTCACAAATTTTGAATTTCGGAATTTTCAAAAAAAAAAAAACTTTAATTATTTTCGGATTAAAAAAACTGATAATCTAGAGGTATTTTCCTTCAAATTTCCATAAACTAATTTCGCCTTATACAATTTCATTTTTTTTGGGGACGGCATACTTGTAATCCGGGCCTTTCCCAGACCTTGGCGGGCCTTGCCAGTGTTTCTTCCAGAATCATTATTTTCAGACCAACTAAATCAAATATGATAGAACTCGACGCATACTACAAAATGATACTATTTAGAGAACTGTGTCTTGTTTGCGAACAAAGTTACAGGCGAAAAAAAGCGAAAAAAGCAGGCCCGGCCCGGCTCGGCACTTCCAAAAAAAGCCACTTTATGGCCTGTAACTTCGTTTGCAGACAAGATACAGTATTCCGCATAATATCATTTTGTAGTACTCGTCAAGCTCTATCATATCCAATTTAGTTGGTCTAAAATTTTTAATTCTGAAAGAAACTATGGCAGGGCCCGCGAAGGCCCGGCAAAGGCCCGGATTACAAGTATGGGGGACGGGGCCTTGTAAATAGAGATTTTCAGATGCTTATTTTTCTGATCCTGAATCTTTACAACTCGTTATTTAACAAATCTCCGTTTCTGCTACTGTCAAAGTTTTTCAAAAAACAAGAAAATTCAAAATAAATTCCGAAATTTCAGATAAAGTGACATCAACTGAATGAAATAGTACCTTCCACTTTCAGCAAACTTTTAAAACCGTAATTTCCGTTATTTTCTTTCAAAATTTTAGATCAATCTGCAATTAACGAAAAAAAAATTGATAAATATAACTTCCAAGAAGATTTTCAAAATTTCCTACTTTTTCTATTGAACATTTCGAATTTAGAATTTCGGTTTTTCCCAAAATTACTGAATTTTCTGTTCAATTTTCTTTTTTGTCAACATTTGGAAACTGTGAATTTCTTCTTTTCCTAAATTTCCCTATTTTCCAGGTAACCCGAGTCACAAAAGTGACCACAACCCGATCAGTCCGTCAAGTGCCCGTCCAATCGCCGTATTCAAATATCGATTTCGATTCGTCGGGACTGCCAACACCGTCTCCAGTCATTGATAGGGATCCCAGTTTGGAAATGATGGCTAGAATGGGAAACGGACATGACTCGGAGGATAGGGCCGCTCCACCACCCGCACCACATGGACGATTTATGCATGAAGGTAGGGTTTTTTGATCTAGAAAGAATGAGAACGACCTTAAAAACCTAAAAATTTCGAGTTACAACTAGACAAAATACATTTCGAACGAAGTACCAATTTTGAAAATTTCGAGCTTTAAAAGTAATCATTTTGAAACAGAAACAAATTAAATTTTAAGTTGTCAAAGTTGTATTTTTAAAATGTTCAACTATCTTGAAATTCGATTTGAAATTGTTGAGGAATACAGAATTCCAATCTCCTGGAAGTCTTGAGTTTTTCAAACTTGTCAATAATTCATGACAATCAGAATAAACTTGAAAATTTTGATTATTTAAAAAAGTTTCAAAACTGAAAAGAAATTTTTTTTGGACTTTTTTCTGGAACTTTGAATTCAAAATTCTAGATCAACAAATTATTTTTAACTACCATAAACATTTTTTAAAAATCTATTTTCCGATTTTTCCAGATTCCGGCATTCCGTCGGCTCCTGGAGTCCCTGACGTCATCGACGCTGGCATCGGAGAGGTTACTGTAGTCTGGAGTGCTCCTCTCCAGAAAAATGGAGGAGAAATTCGAGGATATCAGCTTCAAATGAGAGAGTTGCCAGATGGAGAGTGGGAGGATATGGGTGTGGATCAGTTGATCAAGGATACCAGTTGTAGAGGTGAGTAGGTTTTCTGGTTTGGCGGAAATTTTGAAAGTTTTATCCCTTGGAAAATAAGTTACTGTTTGAAACAAAGTTTTTGAAACAGAGAAATTTATTTTTTGCTTATTAGAAAAAATTTGTACAGTAGTCGAATTTCTTCGCTTTTTGTAATTTTGAAATGCTCAAAGTTTCTAATTTTAGAAAATTCCAATCAATTCAAAAATGTTCCAAGCTTCTGTTTTTTCTCCCAGAGAAAACGAATGACTCACTTTGTTTTTTTCCTTCTCTGTCGCTCCTTTTTCGTATTCTATATACAATTTTTACATAAATTTTACAGTTTTAAGGCTTATTATAGTACAAACTAGGAACTTTTGAATTCTTCGTTTTATTCAAGATCCATTAGTTTTCAAACTGAAAAGTTGACTTTATTTAGAGAAATTGAAATTGGAATAATTAAATGTTTTTGTCGAAAACTGAAATCGAATTTCGAAGTTTTCAGGATTTTAGGGAATTTGGGTTTGGAAAGCAATATTGATTTATTATATTTTTTAACATTTGAAAACTTTGGCTAACAAATATAAAATATCACAGTTTCGAATGAAAATTGAAATTTATGTAGATTTCGAATCAGTGATTTGTTTTAAAGTTTGAAAAATCAACATTTAATTTTTAAAACTGAAAACTTCGAGAACTTGCTTTTTTAATAGTGGTGTTGTGAAACAGATTTTCAAAGAAAAATGTTTATTTTGAAAAAAGTTTCAGCTTCAAAAATCTGATAATTAAGAAGATTAGTCTTGTAATATTATTGACCTTCCATTCTATTTTTTTTGTATTATGCTGAAAATGATGTATATGATGATATCCGCCAAATATTGTTGATTTGAGCAACACCATTGTTTATTTCATACATTTGAATCAGTAAAAAAACTTGAAAATTATAAAACCCATTTTTTTGGAAAAAATCTCTTCTGCACCAAAAAATTAGAAATTGAAGTCTTCTAAAAAATGAATTTAATTTGAAAAGTTAGTGATACTGTTGAAGGAACGAACCACTAAAAATTTCGATTTTTTGAATTCCCTAAATTTTATCTATAATTTCTGAAATTCTCAGACGAAACAAACAACTACTAATGACCATTTTTCACTGAAGTTGTCATTTTTAGAATTTTTGATTATCATTGCTGAAAGAGCAGAAGAGCCATTATGAAATAGAAATAAAATTTGTTTAAAACAGTGAAATTATTTTTTTAGTAATGAAAAAAATGTTCTCAAATGAAATTTACGACAAAAAATTTTTTCCCGAAGTTTCAGCTAGATTTTTTTTTAAAAGCAATTTACCGATTCAATAAATCTAGAAACCATCATTTTTCAAGACCTAGTTATGTTTTCCTAATTTTCATAAAAATAGGTTAAAAACAACTTCGGCCTGAATTGATTTCATTATCGCAAAACCAATAAATTTCTCAATTTTAAAGGTTTTTGAAACTGAAATATATTTTTTTGAAAACCTGTTACAGAAACCTCACAAATTCACATATTTTTATGTTTGGTCACTATGAACGTGTTTAGACATATTCTTATTTCCCAAATTTTAATCAATACTCACATTTTAGGACATTTTCTACTTCTAGATTCTCACACATTTGTCCCGATTTCTCCTATTTTTGTTCCCAAAAACATTTGACCTTCTAATTTTCCCGCCACCCCCCAAAATTTCTGACGGCACTCCCGCTGTGAGAGGGAATCAAGAACATCTTTTCTATGTTCCTGCCTGTTTTGATCACTTTACTGTTCCTTCTTTTTTTCTCTCCAAAAATTGAAAAAAGAGGATTTTTCGAAATTTTGAGAAAAAATCGCTGTTTCGCAAAGTTTTTCAAAATTTTGAGATTTCACATTTTTCAATGTAATTATCGATTCAAAATCATAAAAACAATAATCATTACTAATAACATTCACCAGATTCCGTATGTGCGTATGTATGTCGCGCGCCTTATCACCCACTCAACGTTCACCGATTGAGCTGAAACCTGGACAGGTGAATCAGAAATGTGTCTCCGAAATTTTGATTTTGAATTCTTCTGGAGACGTTTCTTATGTTCACCACAGTAAACGGGTGGTGGGCAGAAAAAGCGGTTTAGCCCCGACGGGGCGTAAACTGACTAGTTTGAATACATTGACAATGATAGAATTCGAATAATTCGATTAAAAAAATGCTTAATCAAAAAATTCAAAGACTCAAATGCCGATCAAATTACATATATTTTTTTTGAAGCTACATAGACATTTTGAAACGGTCAAAGAAGGGAAGAATTCAAGAAAATTGAATGGAAAATTTGGAAAAAAGTAAAAAATTCAAAATTTTGGCGAATCATTAAAATTAAAATTTGAGAAAAACTGATTTTTCCAATAATTTTTTGAACAGTTTTTTACCAATCATTACTAATAACATTCACCAAATTCCGTATGTAAGGATGTATGTCGCGTGACTGTTAACCCATTCAAAGTTAACCAATTGAGCTGAAACCTGGACAGGTGAATCAGAAATTTTTATTAGTTTAGGCCCGACCCTTTCTATTTTAGAAATTTTGATTTTGAAATCTTCTGGAGATGTTCTTTGGTTTCACCACAGTAAAGCGTGGTGGGCAGAGAGGGCGAGAAAGGAGGGCGAGTGAGGAAAAGGGGGAGGAAATCCCACACACGTGTACGCCATTTCTCCCACATTCCATACTTGTAAATTCCGGGCCGGGCCGGGCCTGAGGAAAATTTCAAGGCCCGGGCCCGGCCCGGAAGGCCCGGTAGCAAAAAGTTTGTCATTTTGAATCGAATTTTGAGCTCTCAATACAATTTCCTATATTTTTTTTTGCTTTTCGGATTGTTTGTCTGTTTGATCAAAAAATATTAAAAAAAACTCGAAAAAAATTTTTTGATCGAAAAAAATCACATAAGGGTCCCCCCTTATGTGTTTTTTGAAATTTTCAAAACTTGTGGAATGACAGGCCCGCCGGGCCGGGCCCGGGCCCGGGCAGGGCCGGGCCTCCGAAATTCGGGAAAAAGCCCGGCCCGGCCCGGCCCGGCCCGTTACAAGTATCCCACATTCCCTGTGGTGACCGTGTGGTGTAGTGGTTAGCGCGCTATGCCTTTGCTCGAGCTATGCGGGTTCGAGTCTGATAGGTGCCAACTTTTTTTTTGGTTTTTTGTGAAGAGTTCAAAAATACATATGAAAATGTCCGACTGTTTTTCAATCGGTTTGAATGAAACCTTAGCAAAGATTTTCACAGTTTCATTAGTTTCAAGTCGAAAGGAAAGTTCAGTCGAAAATTTGAATAGTTTTTTTGTGTTATCAGCATATTTCGGATAACAATTTGATAGATAAATTGGTAAATTTTGCACTTTCTTTCTTCAGATGCAAATTCCAATATCCCAAAATTCTGAAAAAAGGGCGGCGGTTTGTAAAAGTGGCAAAAATGATTAAGAGTTTGAATTCACCGATATTAAGAACTTTAAAAATTCAGAATTTTAGAGTTTTTGAATTTCCAAGATTTTGAGGGGAATTCAGATTTCTTGAGTTTCGAGATTTTTGGATGATCAGAAAAAATAAGAGACGCTGAAATATAGGAATTGCAAGCTACAGGAACTTTCAAAATCTCAAATATAGGAACTCTCTAAAGTTGAAAACCAGCTAAGAACTAAAGCTTTCGAAATTAAGAGGTTTCAAACTGTGGGCGTTTGAATCCAAATCTCTGGCCTTACAATTCCTAAATTCACCAATTTCCCAAGTTCATAAAATTCAAAACTCCAGAAGCTAGAGAATTTGAAAACTCGGAAACTTGAAAATTGTAAAAATATGAATTTTTGGTTCAAAATCGAAGAAGAACCTCCGAATCCGCATATTCCTGGATTTCCGATTTCTGACTTTCTGAGTTTTCAAAATTTTGAGTTCCGAGATTTTCAATAAAATAGGTTCAGCCCCTTAAAAGTGTAAACTGAGTTTTCTATTCACAATTTTAACTCCAGAATTAGACTCAGAGTTTCAAAATTCAAAAAACCTCTAGCAAGATCTTCAAAATTGAAGTTTTCGAATTTCGAAATTTCCTACTGAAGTTCTATAAATTCTTAATACCGTATTTCCTCTAATAGAAAACCACCCCGCGAGGTGCTTCGAAAAATAGAAGACCACCCTCTATTAGGAGCCCATGGGCTTCAACTAGAAAAAATACTGTAAGTCAAAATTCTAGAATTTTTGGAACTGAGGTTTTAGAACTCGACAATTTCTTAATTTCTGAACTTTCTTATTTCTATATTTCGGAATTTCAGATTTTTAGAATTTCAGAGTTTTTTTTCCGGAATTTCAGAATTCCTGAATTTGAAATTTTGAAATCCTGGAATATCAGAATTGCATAAATTCAGAATTTTGAAATTTAGAATTGCAGTATGAAAGTTTCGAATTTATCAAAACACTTAATTTCAGAATTCTTAACTTCCGAATTGCCAAATTTCCGATTTTTTGAATAAAATTTTTTTTTGAAAATAATTCGTTGAAAAATAAAAAACGACCCTCTAATAGAAGTCCACTCTAAGAAAGATGTTGAAAAATAGAAGTCTATGAGCTTCTTCTAAATGAAATTCGGTATATTGACAATTCTAATTCCTCATACACTGAATTTCGCAATTTCCAATTTTCAGGCCCTTTTATAAGATTACGGGTACTGTAACCGGAGGCCAGGAGGTTCAGCCCCGAAGGGGTGCAAACCGACTGGTTTTGATTCATTTTGCTTTTTTTAAAAGTATATTCCACACCAAGTTTTATCAATCATTCACAGAATACATGAACTTCTTGGAACTTTTAAAAAAATACTAGAAATGTTGTGAAAATTATCGGAAAATAGGGTCAAATCAGCTGAAACTTTCGGAAAATAAATCGAGAATTTGGGAAATGAATTAATTATAATTTTTTTTCAAAATCTTTCAAATGTTTCAAGAAACCGGTATAGAAAGTTCCTTAGTTTTTTCAATGTTAAAATAGCCAGTCTACCATCAACTTTCTGAAATTATTTGTAAAATCAAAAATCTGAAACAGCAATTTTCGCGAAAAATGAAAAAAAAATCTGTTAGAAACTTTTTGATAATCTCGAAACAAAATTTTTTGATCTACAAAAAATTCTCCTAAATTTCCAAATTTCTTTGAAAATTCGGAGGGAAACTCAAAACATTTTTTCATAATTTTTATTGATTTTCTGCTAATTTCCATTATTTTTTCTGTGGGTTTTTCGCCTTTTTGGTCCCAAATCAACAGAAATGATTTGTTTTTCGCAATTTCTTCTTTTTTTACTGTTTTATGACTCTAAAACCAACCGATTAGTCAACCCTAATTTTGAAAACAAAAAAAATGGACTTGTTGAAACTGGATTTTTGAAATTCCAACTTTTAAATTATTTTTTTCATTAAAATTTTTTTTCTCATTTTCTCCCATTTCTTTCATCGTCACACCAAAAAATCTGACCTATGTCCCTCACTACCGTTATCTCTTCATTGCCATCTTGTTTATAACTTGTCTCCCTGTCTCTGGGTCTCTCTAAATCCCACACTCTCTCACCTAAAATGAGGTAAATGTCGAAAAGTGCAGATAGAGATAAGAATCTTGTTAGTCTTGTCCCTTGTCTCCTAGGACATAGATTAGTTAGTGACCTATTTTTATATTAGGATCTTGATTCCTAAAATGCTGATCGAGAGACATTTAGAGCTCTCGGAGCACCATCAAAGTTTCGCCGAGGTTGATGAGGAAGGTAATACGATTTTTGATTTTGGTTCCTTTTTCCCAACTTGCTAGCTGACTCAATTTTAAGATTTATAGGCTGAAAAAGGTTCGAAAATAATAAAGCGTTTTGACACAATTTATCGGGCTTTCTGTGAGAGATATTGAAAAGTTGTCAACTGATAAGATGTTTCTGATAAAATGTTTAACATTTTATCAGTTCAAGTTTATGATTATAATCCAATCTTAATTTACAAAAACAGTATCAGTCTCAATTGATATTGAATTTTTCAAATTAAAAAAAAAAAACAACAGTTTCAAATTCATTTAATTATAGTCTTGGTCCTAAAAACCCTGATAATCCATACCGGTATTAACTTTCTTCAAACCATTCTCCCCCCCCCCCTGTTCAGCCCAAAATTAATCTAATTTTTTTTTTCAGTGACAAATCTCACTTCCCACGAAGTACAATTCCGAGTGTCGGCGTACGGACGAACCGGCTTCGGACCCACATCCAATCCGTCGCTTCCCGTCAAAATTCCGATCAGTGAGAACGATTTGGCGACGTGTGAGTTTTCTATTTTCGGGTGGGAATTCGAATTAAAAATAGCTTAAAGTTTAAAACCTTCACCTATCTTCAATACTTTTGATTTAACACTATAAAATTTGAATTGAAAGTTTACAGCTTCTTGTTGAAATTCTTCAACCTATTCTCGATTCTTTCAGCTGCCGGCGCTCCACTGGCTCCCGGCAGACCGACAGTCATCGCCGTCGATGGTCAAGGTGTCCTTCTCGAATGGACCGCCCCTATAGCGGATGTTCACTCATCGCCACCTCAAGGATACCAAGTCGAGTACCGTGTCTATGGAAGTCGTGACTGGATGATTGCCAACGAACAACTCGTCCAAGACACAATGTTCACCGTCGAATCCCTCCGCCCGAATGGTGTTTACGAGTTTCGGGTTCGTGGAAAGAATCAAGACGGTTTGGGTCATCCTAGCTTATCATCTGGAGGTGTAGCCATTCGACCAGCCGCACCACAACGGAATTTGCCTGCCAGGAAGGTGTCGGAAAGTGTCAATCCACCGGGACAGCCCCAAATGGTGGAGGCTGGTGATGATTGGGTGAAATTGGAATGGGCTCCGAGTGCCGAGCAAGCGGGATATATTGTCGAGTATCGAGAGGTTGGAGATCCCACGTGGCATACGGCGAATTATGATCCAATTGTGCAGAATGGGATACAAGGTGAGCTTATGGTCCATCAGCAAGCTAGCTAGATTAATTCCCTTACAATTTGCAATAATTAGTTACCAACTAAATTATGAATACCATGAAAAACAAATTTAAATTTTCCAGTGGAAGGCCTTCGTCGAAACTCAACATACGAATTCTGCGTGATCTCCGTCATGGACAACCTCTACTCTCATCCATCTGAAACTTCCGACATCATTCATCTCCGACCAATGGGTCGTGCCTCGTCCCTTCGCGTCGTTCCAGAACTCGCCGAAGCTCCAGAATTCCTAGACGTTGATGGTGATAAGATTACAATCTGTTGGCTGCCAGCACACAGTCAACTACCCGTCATAGGATACGACGTCGAGTTTCGAGACCTTCAACAGGACGATCGTTGGTACAAGGTCAATGATCAGCCAGTTTTTGCTTGTAAAATGACAGTAGGAGACTTGATTCTGGACCACGATTATCAGTTTCGTGTGTTGGCACACAATGCGTCAGGATGCTCCCAGCCGAGTCCACCCTCGCAATTTGTGCACATTGAGCCATCGACACGTGAGTCATTTTTTCAAAGTGTTATCAGCAAAAGTTCAGAAATTTTCACAGTTTCAAAATCAGCTGAACTTTTAAATTTTTTATCAGTTTCCTGACAGTTTCTGTTTTTTGGTTTCACACTTTAGATCAAAACTTTTTTTAATTTTGAAATTTTGGTAAGAAGTTTAATACAAATTGTAGCTCTTGAAATTTGCTTCAAAATAATCATAAAATTTGAATTGTTTTATATTTTTCATTGTTTTATGGAGCTTATAAAAAAAATTTTGAGATGTTTACACTGACATAGTTGTGCCTAATTTTTAATATTAGCATTATAAATTAAAATCTAGTGCAAATTGTAGCTGTTGAAATTTGCTACAAAAATAATAATATTCAAATATTTAATTATATATTTTTTACTGTTTCGTGGAGCTCAAAAAAATGGTAATCAAATCTTTCCGCATTTCGTAGCATAATTTATTTTATCTTGACATTATGAACTGAAAATTAGCGCAAATCAGTGCAAATTGTAGCTCATGTTTGAGTCTGTTGTTTTCAGCAAAAGTTCAAAACTTTCAATCTTCACATTTAGTGAAACTATTTTAGTAGTCTGCTTGTTTCCTTTCAAAGTAGAAATTAAGTTTTGTGTCATATATTAACGCACTGAAATGAAGCCCTTTAAATTGTATGCAAAATAATAAAACATTCACATAGTTCTATGTTTTCCACTGTTTCGCAGACATCTTAATATGACATACTCACTTAATGAACGATTCGTTTAACATTCTTCTACTTCATTTAGTGGCAAAAAGTAGAGCTTGAAATTGTTCTTATGCTATGGTTTACATTGGAAATTAAACGTATCTTTAACTATCATTTTTATCAACTTTATAAATTCGAAAACTCCGTTTTCATAATTCCAGACCGCCTCTCCGCTCAAACCCTGGACTCTCCCAACTTGGGACATCACGACATTGTCAAATACGTGGAAGCTGAACGATTTGGAGCCGTTCCGTTGCTCCAAGAGGAAATGGTCCGAGAATCACCGCCACTTCCCGAGAGAGATGACTCACCACCGCCACTTCGAAGAGCCAATAATAATGGTGAGTTTTTTTTTGTTGATTTTTGATGAGTTATTGTACGGTGGGGCGCGATTGATGTTGGTGTACTAGGAGTGCAGCTGCGTAGCTCAATTGGGAGATGTGTGATACTTTTAATGTTTTGCCCGAAAGCTCAACTTCTCGAAAAGACAAACTCTCATATATCTGTTTATTTATTGACGGTAGGGTACGCTACCTCTGAGAATATGAGCCTTATAATCGAGGAACTTTTTTTAAATGTCACATTAAATATTACTGTAAGAATCATTATTATATAGGGACTTAGTTTTCACATTAGCCTTTTTTGTCAATTAAACAATAAACTTGTAGATGCCGAAGTTTTTCCACGAGACAACTCAATGAATTCTGATTCACTGAATCAAGTTTTCATAACATGATGAAACAGCGAAATTTGAAAAATAAAAATTTCAGTTTTTTTTGAGAAGTTCATAGACATTGGAGATGAATCCTGCAGATGAAGTAATTGACAGGAATTTGTTCCTTTCTTTGACACTTCGATGAAACTGATATATTTCTTTAATTTTTTCAATTTTTTTAATTCGTTCGATCCTTTCAGTCCAATGGCGCGATCCATCCCTCAAAGAAGTGATCGAATACCTCTCATCAGCTGACAAGGACAAACAACTCAACGCATCCGGCTACCTTCAACACCTAACCTACAGTGATAATTTGATAAAAGAGGAGACGCGTGAACTGGGCGGAATCCCCAAACTCATCGCGCTCCTCCGCTCAGACACCCCAAGAATCCAGAAAAACGCTTGTGCCTGTCTGAAAAACCTCAGCTACGGTAAAGAAAACGACGCGAACAAGATGGCCGTAATGGAGGCGGATGGTGTACGTCAGTTGTCTGAAGTCCTTCGGACCACCCACGACGCATCTGTCAAGGAGGAGGCAACAGCGGCACTTTGGAATCTAAGCTCAGCCGATATGCTGAAGCCAGTGATTCTAGAGAGTGCTACGGAGATTTTGAGTCAGCAAGTTATGGCTCCACTTTTCTCTGGCCAAGGATCGGCTGCTTCCGATCCATCACGCCATTTTGGATCCACGTTGTTCAAAAACTCTACAGGGATCCTTAGAAACGTCTCAGCGGCATCGCAAGCAGCCCGACGACGTCTTCGGGATGTTCCCAACCTCATTGAAGCCCTAGTACACTTTTTAACGCATTCTATCCAAAAAAATCAGGTGGATACACCTACTGTGGAGAATGCAGTTTGCTTGCTCCGGAATCTGAGCTATAGAATTCAAGAAGTTGTGGATCCGAACTATGATCCAGCTGCAGCACATGTGAACTCGAAGAATATGAAACATGCAGCCTCCCCGAAGCCCAAAAAGAAGGAAAAGGAATCCAAAAAGAAGGATTCCAAGAAGAATCCAAAGAACATCGTGACGGGACCGTCGCTTCTCTGGCAGCCTCATGTTGTCAAACTGTACCTGAAACTGCTCCAAGATAGTTCGAATATTGAGACACTTGAAGCGTCAGCCGGAGCCATTCAGAACTTGGCAGCTTGCCAATTTCCACCGTCTGCCGAGGTTCGTGCGGCGGTGAGAGTTGAGAAGGGGCTACCGGTACTTGTGGAGCTCATCCGATTGCCCGAAGATTTTGTAGTTTGTGCTGTGGCGACGGCGTTGAGGAATCTGGCGATTGATCCAAGGAATCGAGAGCTTATTGGTTAGTTATTTATATAAGTAATTTAAAAAGTGGAAATTGGATTACAAATTTTCGTTTTTGGTTTTAAAAAATGGGAACGGCAGAATTTCAAAAAATCGTTTTGAAAAGTTTCAGGAAAATACGCTCTACGAGACTTCTTGGAGAAACTTCCGGAACCCGGGACACCACGACGCAGTGCAGTGTCCGATCAAACGATTGCAGCAGTTTTGGGAATTTTATTCGAAATCGTTCGGAGCTCGGCGGCCTACACCAAGGATGTGCATGAGTTGAAAGGTAGGTTAATTTGAAGTTTAATTATCTCGGTTCCTATGAGAG